GGTAGACATATTGATTTAGATCAAGGAAACAAGACGGGCTGGCTTAATTAGAGCTTACCTATGTGGGAACAGCCTTTTTTGCTTCTTTAAAGCAAGAGTAAAGGGGAATGACTGCGTGCCGTGACTGTATGGTGTGCTGTTCAGAGGTGTTTGGAAGAGACCCCACAGCCAAGCCTCGGGGACTTGATATGCATCCCATCTCGTAGTCAAGTGTTGATGCCGTTATACCTGTGTCATCTACATTTTGATGATAACGAAGAGTCATCGAAAATGCGAATTATGTCGATCATTTTAATTTAAAAATAGCTGATGAAAATATGGCAAGGACAGTTTGCATATTTTGGTTCAATTTGTTTAATATATAAAGTTTTTGAATATTTGGTGTAATTTCTCGTCAACGAATCCTATTTTGTCCACTCTCTGGCATTTTAAGGAGCAATCACATTAGCAAAATGCATGGTAAAAAAGGTCCATTCTCAATAATGTCGATATGGACAAAGCACAGAAGTCACTTTTAAAATCTGCATTGGGAAATCTTTCATCCTTGCATGAAATTCCTGATTGCGTGGATTCCAATTGAAATGAATAGATTTTGTCCAAAAAAGTTTGACAAAAATTGCTATGCAATGGTGCATGGTGACTGCATAAAAGTCAGAGTAAAACTGACTGAAATGAATTAATATGACATGATGAAATATTGACTAAATTTAAAGGAGTTATTTAAAAAAAGAAACAAACAAAAAGAATGACTGAAAAGAAAATAACACTGCAAAGATTAATACTGTTCATTCCCCACAATCACCTATAGTTCACCCTAAATCACCCTCATATTCTTCAAAAACTGTTTTTCTTTATTCTATTGCTGCATTCGCATACTATCCGTCCTCAGTAGAACTAGTATGTCCCAAATCATAGTATGTTTAAAACAGTATGCCAAAGATTCCCGGATGGTCTACTACTTCCGGTTAGAATTGTAAGTGTAGATCGATGCACACTCTAACGGCTAATATTGCCCACAACACATTGCGCGGTGGACGAGGATTCAATTAGAACTACAAACACGCATTAAAAGTGTTTAAAAAAACTACAAACATGGCGGATATACGCGACCAACGTACAACGTACCTCTTAATTTCTCTCCAATACGGTAGGAAATCAAATTAAACGAAATGTGGATGATGTTAACTGTGATAAGATAATTGACACGGCAGTTTAAACAGTGACAGAATGCACGTAACTAAGCAACAGAGCGTCCGTTAAAGACGCAGTTATGACGAAGTAGTATGTCCCAAAGCTTGCCTACTATTCTTCTACATACTCAAAAGTATGTACTTTTTCTTCACAAAAAGAGTACATACTTTTAGGGCATAGTATAAGTAGGCGAATTGGGACGCAGCATATGACTACAAAAGAGAATACTTTGAGGAATGTTTCAACGGCCCATACAATGAAAGTCAATGGGGTCCAAAACAACATTGGACCCCACTGAGTTTTATTGTATGGACATGAAGGTGAGTAAATGAAGGCAGAAATGTATTTTTTTGGTGACCTTTCTCTCTTTTTGACCTAAAATTGTTCCTACAACCCTGGTTGACTGCTTTTGTTCAAGAGTTGTTTTTTTGGTCACTGCATCAATGTCTCACCATGTTTCAGCAGCTACCACCATTTTAGCATGGCATTTCTAGCTCAAAACATTTAGTAAAACGTGCCTCAAGATGTTCTTGAGGTGTTAATGGAGGGTCGAGACAAACACAGAGGCAGCTCCAGCTGAAATGTTGGCGTTTGTGAACTGAAAAGTGGCCTGTACGATCATCTCTACCCCTTTAAACTCCACAAAAACATTGTTCACCCTTCAGCGCCTTTCCTGCTGTTGAGAAAATCAATGTCTTGGTCGTAATTATTTAACCATTGATAAAGCCTTCAGCTCCTGCTAGAGCCCAAGCACCTATTCAACACACTGAGGCTGACAGTGGGAAAGATAGAGATGCTTTGGCTGGCGGAAAAGCGTGAGAAGTGATCGGCTGACTGCCATCGGTCCTCTCGACAAGCCGGAGGGATCGAGGAGACAAGTGACTGCTCCCGGGTCAACTCATGTCTCTCCTCCTCTTTATTGACACTTAGCTTTACAAAGAGCCCCCCTGGGCTCCCCAGACAGTGACAAATTGCAATGGTTTGGCTGTGTTGAGAGTGAACCGACACTAACTTAAAGCGGTGGGGAGTGGAACGGTGTGGGTAAATGTGATTTTGATTTCTGTTAACAGGCTTCATTTGTAAATGCAGTACAGAGACACTACGTTTAATGAGTGTAAGAGGGCTGATACACTGGATTTTATGTTTTGATGTCATGGAGGCCAGATGGCCTCCAGATGTTGACCTTGTGTGTGTGGCCTTGGGTTTACCAGCACATTTACCTGATAACTGATTCCGTTTTAGGATTCATTAAAAAAAAAAAAAACAGATTCATAAAGGATGTTTGGTATGAAATTGTATTATGACAACAGCTGCCACAATTGTCCCAACACAAAAGTTTATACATATTTATATTTATGAATTTAAATGCATGATTTATCATTTTAAATGTACATTTTTTTAAGTGCATATATATTTATTTTTGAAATTATTTTAAAAATTACATTCTGTTAAACATTTTATCGTTATGCATTTTCTTGATTTTTTCCATTAAATGTTCAGTTAAATTTACAACAACAAAAAATGCAATAATATCTAATATTTTTATAACTGACATGGCAAAGCAATCTTGATGAAATTAGCAGAATTTTGTTGATTTACATTTACTGTAGTTTGGCTCATTTTTTTCATTGGTCAAAATACAGTCATCTGAATAGCAATCCATGCAATTGAGAATTTCTTGTGAGGGTGAAAGATTTCCCAAAGCAGATTTCAGATGATCATGTGAATTTTCTGCATTGACCAACACAAAGATGCTTGGTTGGAAAGTGACTGAGCTTCATACATTGCTACACTATTGACAATAAAAAGTGGACCTTTTTGGTCTGTGAAATTTTGCTTGGTTTTCGTTTGACTTTGTATTTGTTTTGTTTTTTGGATCATAAAATGTCTGGTTTAATGGCGCAAACATTTGAAAGTAACTTTATCAGTGCAGTAACACAGAGTCCCCGCCACCCCTCACCCACAGGATACTATTAATCGGAGCCATCTTTGATCTCTAGGCTTAGTTCTCTTAGTCTCTCTGGGCCTGGCACACAGCATGGGTGGAGCGAGCTGCTAGAACGGGGCAGTGCCTGGGGCAATACACTCCCCTCAGGTGAGGGTTTTATTATGGATGATGTTTCCGCCAAATTATTTACACCAACACTCTAGATTCCCCACAAACTGCAACCAAAAAACCTCCGCTACGCAAAACCCGATCAACATAAACACAGCAACGTTGAGAGGTCTGGAGTTTCATGTGTTTTCAGCACTGGTCTTTGGTCTAGGTAAGATGTGAGGAACCTTCTCAAGGTGCAGTTGGGGAGCTGGACAATAAGGCTTCTGTCCTGCTCCGTAGTTTCTGGTAGTTCAGGGACACAGCAAACGGAACGGATAGGATCAAAGCACCTTACACATCATATTCTCTTTTCCGGAACCACAGGACGGAACAATCACGACTGATATGATGATGCAGAAGTGGATGGTTGGCATTAATATTCCATGTTCTTATGGGGCCAAATAGACGGCCAGTCCTGTTTTTTGATGCTGGTCTTTAATGGTGGAGACCTGCAGCTTTTGTGAATTGGCTGTAAGAGCTGCCTTGAGCTGTAAGCCATGGATCCTCCCAACATTTCAATGTAAAGCTAGCAGGCTAACAGAAGAGAAGCACTGAAGGTTACTGATAGCTAAAAGCAAAACTGGATGCACTTGGCACGCAAATCTCCAGGAACAAATGACCTCTTGATTTTCTTAGCTCCAACAGAGTGAAAATGCAACCTTGGTTTTGCAAGTTTCCAAGCTGGAAGTATAGCTAGAATTTGTGTCGCTTAAATAGCACTTAAATGCAGTATACTAATGATTTCTGTTTTAATATTGCATTCAATTTTACTTTTACTATTATTATTATTTATTTGATTTAATTAATAATAATAATAATTGATACACCCAAAAATGTAATTCTGTCATAATTCAAACATGGCAGGTCAAGATTGATTATTGATTAGTGCGTGTCTTGTAAACAGTCATTAGCCAGGTTTTTATTCACATATTTTATGCAAATTTTCGGATACTGCATAAAAATTGCTGGATGGAAATACCAAGATTCACATAAAATTTCCAAAATGCACATAAAAAATGGTGAGAACATTTTTGACTATTTATTTGGCTGGAAACATATTTTCTGCATAAATTCACTGAAAGAAAAAAAATGGTCAAAAAATTCACATGACTGACTAATTCACTCAGGGAATAGGAAATGGCAGGTTGAAGAGGATGTCAGAAACGTGAATTTTGGAAATTTGAATTGAATTTGGGAAATGTGGAAATTCCCCCCAAAAAACTGGAACTGTTTTTTACTGCACTCTTTAAACCACAGTTATTACATTTATTTAAAGAATGCAACAGTGGCTTCGTCTTCCGTTTACATTTTGCTGAAATTTTCCCCAGAAAAAAAATGATTTGGTCTTTTGAACACACTGAAATGTGGCTTTGTTCATAGATTGTTTCTGCAATATGCAGATTTATGATGAAAACATTACTAGTGACGTACTGTATGAAGAGTGACGAAATGAATTCTAGAGTGAATGAGATCTACACCGTTTTCTGAGAATAACAGTTTGGGGCTGTCTGAACTATTCTGCCATCACTGGTAAAGGAGAGACGGTGGCATTCATAATGATGGTCTTATCGTACAGGGGGAAGTGAATGTGGTCTTGTGGCTTATCTCAAGGTCCCTCAAGAACCTTGGGAGCAAGCAAGTGAGATTTGGATAATGCACAGAGGCTGTAGCCCGCTTCCCTCCACCCCTCCACCCCTTTCTCTGTACTCACCCAAGCTGAACAGCACCAGGAACTTGAGGCAGACAAACTCCCTCTGGTCCAGCTGGAGGGATCGTAGTTTGCTCACCAGCTCTTGCGCGTGACTCAGGAGGTTGTTGAGTGTGGCACCGGCTTGGGAGGCAATTAGGGCGTAATCCACCTGAAGAGAAAGTGAGTGTTCACACACACACACACACACACACACACACAAACAAAGGCATTACCACAAGCAACATGCCAAATCTCTGAAGGTTTGAAACATCTCAGGTATAGAGAGGTACTACTATAAGTGGAATTTCAAAAATAATTTGAAGATCGAAAGAAAGATTGTTTTCCAACAAGTTTTCGGAACACTCTTTACGTCTTCCATTAGTTGGTCCATTGGTTGAGCCAATCTGAAGTAATTAATGTATAGTTTGGAACTTTTCAATTCATTTCTTGCAAACAGAAATGCTATCAGTGTTAAAACGTTTATTTCGAGAAGATGTGCTCATATTTGTTTAGAGCCGGGACTCACAGTGCATATTTTATAACAAAAAGAGTTGTTGGGAATGCTTTAGGGAAAGTTTAGGTCTTGTTCATCGAAAATTCTATTTCTTGAATCAGAGTCCTTTTACTTTAAAAGTTCAATCAGCCAGATGGCACTTGGCACCACCTTTCGAGTTTTTCAGCGCCGTCTGAAGTAAGCATGTAACCAGTTCTGGCAGCTCTACGTTTTATACGCCTCTCACCCTTTCCCTCCTTCCCAGGCTTCTCTCTGCACAGCAGGGACAGTGCGCTGGGCCGAGGTCTGAATGATAATCAGCATCAAACCGAACGGGGAAGAGCTGCACATTTCTCCATCCCTGGTGCCCAGACCCTCGGACCCCAGCGCCCCGCGCCAGACGAGGGCGGTGGGGGTTGGAGAGGCGCGAGTGAGCGGGGGCCCCTGGAGGTCCCCCAGGCTACTGGGCCGAACCCTGCGTGGGACCCCCGTGGCCCTCTCCTCCCCTTTCAGGTGCACTTAATATCTGCAGCAGCAGCAAATTTGTCTTGGAGGCAAGTCCTTAGCTGCCACTCACTGTAAGCAGGCCATATTAAATTTTTATATTTATTGACAATTCATTACCATAATTGACTGCGCCAGGGTTTCTGGAAGAAGGTAGACTACGGGCCTCCTAAGCGTAAGGAGAGCTCCCTCTGAGCTGGATTTGCAATTAAAAACGCGGGCGGTTTGGAATTTATTTATTGTGTAAATATGATGAGTGGAATTTTTTTAAGTCCTGGCTGGAGAATTGCTCATTTCTCACCAGCTGTATTAGTGGATCTCTTCAAGGCCCATATGAAGCTGCTGAAGTTGTCAATTAACAGGGATTTGACCAACTGACCATGTGCCCCAAGCATTAGTAACCAGATAAAGTAAAAGGATTACACTTAAAAACAATACAAATAATAATGCACAATACTGAATATATTAAACAAACATTACTACTAATATAAATACATTTTTGAAAATGATGCATATCTATATCAATACAAGTATTGAAAAAATATACACTACTGAAAACTCAGGTGACAAAACAAACAAAAAAAATCCTAAAAAGTTGTCAGTAAAATATGTGATATGTAACATTTTTGTTCCATAATGAGGGTTGACACAACTGAACCGTTTGTAGCAATATTCCCTAATTTATTCTGACACTATAAATATCAGTGAATGCTTGATCTTGACAAAATTCTATGCCCTGTATGAATATGATTATGATGATTTGGATTCTTCTAAAGGCCCGGGACCTTCAGTGTGAGAGGCAGACAGACAGATACAGCAAAAGAAGGGGTGGAGGGGGAGATGTAGGTCTGTGACATATTGGAAAGCCGCCCATGTAGTGTCATGTGTCGCAGAACTTCAGGACTGATCCCCCACAGTGCTTTGCTGCCATACCAACACTAGGGAGAAACAATGACACGTCCTCAAACAAGATGAGAGACAGTGGGCAGTTCAGTTAACAGTCACTGACAGTGTTGAAACTCAACTTTCCTGCACCCATGCTTTGACTTTCAAAAACATGCTGCAGACATATATATATATATATATATATATATATATTCACTACACACCAGTTGGAAGTTAAATTACACTGAATTACTGAATCACAACATTGTTTTAACAACTGGCAGAGCATTTGTTTTTTATGCATAAGCCTGTGTTCATGCGCGAGTGTGTTGTGTGGCCGTGCTGTCAGTAGTCTGCTCTGGAATAATAGGACGTAATGAACTGTTTGAGTCTTTGCCTTCTCTCTCCCCAAAGGCTTTTTTTCAGCACCAGCTGTTCATTAGGCAAAATATGCAAACAAGGTCTGGCCCTCCTCCACCCGCCCCCAACCCTCCTCCAGACCTCGCTAATCAAACATAGAGGCACGCTAAGCAGAGCACTTGCAATCCAGACAAATCAAAGATAGTGAGCGCTGTGAACTCTCACAGATCTCCGCATGTGATATCTAACAAACAGTCTCCGATTTTAGTGCTCAGAGGTTGCTCTTTCATGGCTCAGGAGGCTAGAAACCACTTTCACACTAACCAAACTAATCCAATTCTGACCTCAAATAGACTCGGGTCGACACTAAAAAGTGTAGTTTCTCAGTTGTGTTTCTTTTAATATCAACTTTGTCTCAAATGATAACATAGAAAAAGTATAGAGCTATAAAATTATGTATATATGTGACCCTGGAGCACAAAACCAGTCTTAAATCGCTGGGGTATATTTGTAGCAATAGCCAAAAATACATTGTATGGGTCAAAATAATTGATTTTTCTTTTATGCCAAAAATCATTAGGATATTAAGTAAAGATCATGTTCCATGAAGACATTTTGTAAATTTCCTTCTGTAAATATATTAAAACTTAATTTTTATTTCTAAAAACTTCATTTGGACAACTTTTCTCAATATTTTGATTTTTTTGTACCCTCAGATTCCAGATTTTCAAATAGTTGTATCTCGGCCAAATATTGTTCTATCCTAACAAACCATACATCAATGGAAAGCTTATTTATTCAGCTTAAAACTCATTTCGAAAAATTGACCCTTATGACTGGTTTTGTGGTCCAGGGTCACATATAGCATATAGTTGGGAGAATCTAGGGAGAATTTGATAAGAAATGCTTGAAGAATACTGAAAAAACTTTGTCTCAAATGTTTCTCCTAAAATTAAAAGTAGACAAATGTTGACATAGAAAAAGTATGGACCTTTAAAATTCATATAAGTAGCATATAGATATAGAAATGCTTGAGTTCATATTGAGATTTTTTGATTGAAAACTTTCATATCAGTGTGAGACGTTGTTTAGATCTGTTCTGGGATTCAGCATTCTACATTTATTACATTTTTGACATCTTAAAGATGTCCTTTAGTTGACTTTGTGAAAATCACGCCAGGAGCCGGATTCGAGCTTGTTTTGATAGCTGTATAATTTACCAGTGCATGCGAGTTTGTTCACCATTTAATCTCATTATTGTTTCGAAAAAACTATTGAGATGTTTTTGAGACATCAAAGATGTTTAATTTGGGTTTTCTCAGTCCTTTAGTTGACTTGGTGGAAATCGCATCAGGAGCCAGATTTGAACTCGCGTCACTCACTGTATGATGTTCCCAGCCACGAAAAGTCACCATTATATGTTTCTTGAACTGTGCTGTTATCCTTAGATGACCTCTCCGTATCTCTATCATATCATTTATCGCCTGTAATTCACTTCTGTTTCAATACACAGCTCTCCGATAAGCTGTGAACTCTTTGAAAAAGTTCTGCCGTTCACGAGTCGCTGTGTTTGAGCTGTCACTACAGTTGGAGATCACTTTGTTGAGCAGGAGAGGGAGGAGGGAAAACAGAGAATTCAAAATTAAACTCAAGCCTTACTGACAGGCAGACAGAAGCATATTTATTTATAAGCAGTTTAAACATCTTCTGGAAGTGTGTGTGCATGTGCTGGAGCCGAAGACAGAATTAAAGGTCCTCGTGTGCAGAAAACTTCAGCTGAGCCTGAGGCGTCCGTCCAGCGATGTTCCTCAGAGACGACTGAGGTAAATCATACATATCTTCTGCTTTCCCTCCCTGTCTGTCTCTCTCTGTGTCTCTCATCCCTTCTTCACCGCGATGACTCGTGCATGCTTAACCAACCATTTTATTTATTCGTTCACCACACACTTGATAAGAAGTGTACAATTGATTATTCTGGCCACATTAGTTTATACCTAAGCGTAATCTATTTTTAATGGAGTGGCCGGGGCAGTCGATAGCACTTTAAAGGATGTTGATCCACTCTGGCAAAAAGGCCTGATGAGATCTACGGGGAGGAATGGAGGAGACTGAAGCAGACGCTCACCTGTTGCCCCGTGACCAGGAGGATGGAGCCCTCTTTGGCGTGCATCACCTGCCGGAAAACGTGGTCCAGGATGAGGAGTTCACTCCAACAGTTCTGGAGAAGCTTCATTTGGTCGTCAACCTGAGGAGAGACCAACAAATGTGTTGAACTTGAACTTCTTCAAGTAGGTGGTCATGTTTGAAATGCTTTAAAGTTTTGAATTTGAAAATGTTTAAGTTTTGAGTGATTTCCTTTTTTGGGTAAATCGTGTTGTCCTGTAGCAACTGTCCTAATCTGAATCAATATTTTTTAGCTTATTTAGAGTTATCAAATAAAAATGTACCCTGTTTACTTTGTTTCTAGTCACATAATTAATAATTATTGAC